AAAATATTCGAAAGATGGCTCTGAGAGTCAATTCTCTATGTCTATCTTTTTCCTATTATTTTCTATCCTTTTTTTCTATGTTTCATTTACGGCACTCTGAAGATGGCGCTGATTTCAATATTTTTATTCTATCTCTATCCTTTTTCTCACTATTTCTTCTCTTTCTTTACAATTATTTACAAAAATGTACTCAGGAGATTTCGATATCTGATTATTATATATCTTTATTGTTTTTTTTCTCTAATTAATTAATTTATGAATAATTTGATTTATATAATAATTTGATTTGTTTACTATTTGTAACGATCAAAAGATAGTGAATAGAATTATATAATACAATTTATATAATATATAGGAATATTTATGAAAAAATGTATCAAAAATAATATTTTAATCTAATTTTAAGACAAGTTCTATAACAAATCAGAATTATATAAACCTATTAATAATATGTATATGTAAAAATCTAAATTAATTGAAAAACTAATCTTAAATTGTTTGTTCGAAATAAATTGAATCTTTATTTAATCGATACGGACGATACGGAATAGAGTTACATTCGACAGAGTTACATATTCTACACCGAGCAATATAAATATGTTCATTTATTTTAAATAGCGATATAATAAAAATTATACTTATAGTGTTCTTAGCTTACTTGTTATTTAAATATATTTGTTATAAAAAAAAATATTATGTAGAGGAAAAAAGAATTTGCCAGGTGTGGGGTTCGAACCCACGCTCCCAATTGGGAACCAGAACTTAAGTCTGGCGCCTTAGACCGCTCGGCCAACCTGGCTTGTTGGTGACATCGTTCTCTATATTACTATATATATATATATTGAATAACTAACAAATTTTGTTTTTTTATTTAATGTTTTTAAATATATATTAAAAAAAAATTTTAACTCCGTTTATAATATATTAAAAAACATTTATACTTTTTATCCATTGGGCAAAATAGAATTTTTGATATATCTTATTCCTTTCCTATTAGTATCCAAATTTTCTTTTTTTTAAATTACATTGCAAGCTCGATTTACTTGAAAAGTAAAAGTCTCTCAACTATAAAATTTAATGTCTTTTATCTTTTTAATTCTTTTTCACGAAAAAATATATCTTTTAAACATATTTTACCCTATTCTGCCCTATCATAAAAAATAATCATTAAATATTAAGTAAAACAAAATCCAATTTATTTTCATAAGATTAAAAAGAAATTGTAGTAAAATTCTTAACATTTACAAAAATTTAAAACAGATGTATGCGTATAATTTGAATAATTATAAAGTAAAAAAAATAATTGTAACAAAAAAATATTTGACAAAGAATTTTTATCGAATATAAATACAACTTTTATTTATTTATTATTTTATTATTATCACTATCTCGAAACATAAATGAAACAGCTTTATTTTTTCGGATACCGCACGCTATTGTAGGACTTGCAGAATAAAGGTAACTCAATAGCGGAGAATAAAGATTATCGGTAATCAGCAGATGGTAATATTCTTTTAGATCGATGGAAGTACAATGCATTGGAAGAGTGGTGTTACTAGAGCTTACAAACAGAATTCAAATGGAACCGACTCGGCGAAAAAGCAGATCTTATCGCAGCGAACTGTCAAGGGTGCATCACGAGATTGCTCCTATCCCTGCCGGCTCCCAACGGCCCCGGTTCATCCCCTTTGACGCCGGACTCAAATTCTACCCCGATATCGCTCTGACGCAAAAGAGCATACGGAGTAACACGTCAATATACTTTTGGAACTTGATGTAATTGCTATTAATACGGAAAGCAATATGAAATGCGAATTTCAACAAATTTTATCTATATTTTTTTGTATTATTTTTATATATCGTCGAGCCAAAAGAATAATAATAAAATTACGAATATTTAATTAAACACATCATTAGTTCTAGAAATATTTAATTCTTTCGATTGACAACAATTATTAATTATTAATTATTTAATTATAAAAATATGTTTGATTTGTCTTTTTAACAATAACATTTTACGATGTAGTTACGATACAGATTGTAATGATATTTTTTTTTATCGATACATAAATAAATTTATCAATGAAATCAAGTATATCAAAAATATTAAAAGAATTACGAACTGGAATTAATGAATAAAAAAAAAAAAAATATGGTAATAATAAAAATGAAATATAAAGAATAAAATAATTATTTTTACAAACATTTCACAAAAATTGCTCGTTTTGTGCCCATTTCTCTTACTTTATTTTTCCTTTTTTAGATTCCAATTAGATCGAACGCGACACAAACCTCGTACAGAATTTTATGGGATCGCACGTGGCGAAAAAAAGTAAGCCGACTGTTTGTGGTGGATTGGCGGGCAACGAGGGTGCAGTTTGCAACCAGGGGATCGAAACAATTCGGCGAGAAAGTCTATTAATGCATCGAAATATAAAATGTGCAACGTAAACTTCAGTTGTTAAATACGTGCTTTATTTTTTTTTTTTTAACGCTAGTAACGTCAATAATTAATTCGGAAACAGTGGAGGCTAATTACCGAAACAATAAACGTAAAGTAAGATTGATTTGCGATCGCATTAATAATTAGCGAGCGAGCATGTGCCGCTAGCTGATCGCGGGGAAATAATAAGCAAAATGACGTATGATCACGATGAAAGAACGTGTTTTCGTAGGGGTCGGGAAGGAAAGCAATATTGGAAGAAAAACGATTTCGTATTGTATCCACGTTGTAACGTTTGCAATGGGACACGTGGCGGCCATACCGCGTGCCACGTGCCGACCAATCTAAATCTAATAACACAAACAGCTTTACAATAACGCGCTCCCTGCGTGCTACCGTTTGCCGGTAACAGGACACCATGTGAACTAATCGGTCCGAAGTGGTCCTCGAGATCCTGTTTCGCTATTTGTCGATCCCAACTCCTGGGAGCAACACGACTCGATGCTCTAGCGGAAGATTGAGTTAACTCCGTTTTGTTCCTGTTTTCATGTTTGCACGGTTAAATATAATATACTCACCATTGTTCTTGACGCAACGATGTAAAAACGAGAATGAAAGGATCGGTGTAAAATAAATCTCGATCGATTTTAATTCTCAAAAATGTAAGTTTAATTTATTTTAATTATACATCGACGAGTGTTTGTACGCGCGTATAACGTTCGTAATGCGTTCGCATGCGTACAAGAACGACACGCCATGTAAAAGGATGACATTGTGTGATCGAACGAAAGTGATAATTAATATATATATATATATATTTATATATATATATTATAATCAAGATCACAATATCGCAGAGCGCGTAGGCTCCGGGACAAAGAGCTTCTTCGTTGAGGAAGTTTGCTCGCCAAGTCGATATGCAAAAAAGGAACTTTTTACAATGATAACTTTAACGATAATCGTTTCGAAAAGGAAGAAAGAAAAAAAAAAAAAGAAAGAAAGAAAAGAGAAACGATACGATCTACGCTCGTAAACTGCTGCAAAATCTGGACTAATCGAAGATTTCAATTCTGCAACGGTACATGCTTCGTATACTTTCGTGAGATTCGTTTCCTGTGAAATTTGTTTTGGGCCGGCTTATCGAACGATTTCAACCAACTATATATGTTTTATACAGTTGCTGCGGACGATTCCAATTTTTAACGTTGCTTTCTCTCTCTCTCTCTCTCTCTCTCTCTCTCTCTCTCTCTCTCTCTCTCTCTCTCTGAAGAACACGAATCGCTATAAACGTACGTACGTCGGAAGAAATAAGTTTTGACCGATATTGGTAGAAATATATCGATGAAAAAACAGCGGTATGTATACTATATTATCGCGCGGTGGTCGATTAGCACGTTAAAAGATTGGATCGCCAGCGTAACGTAATCATACGAGTCAAGCTATGACGATCTACGTATTTATTTACATCTATGTATAATTAATTTTCGCCCTACAATCACGTTAATATCGTTTCGTTGGATTCCTGGAAATAGTATTTATCTTTTTGTACATCGCAACAATATTTACAAGGAAATTTACAAATTACGAGTTAGACGAGTTATTTACGCTACCTAGCCGATATTGGTTAGTCTCTTAAAACGTACGGGTTTAGGAAGATAAAATTTCAAACTTTGAAAATGCTTTCTAAAACTATGATGTCTGTTATTCACTGATAAGCGATATGTCCGTCTAGTGGTGTCATTTCGCCCTATATCCCCTTTATTATATAGCCTCTTTGCTTGCTTTGATATAAAATTGCGCGGCACCCTGTCAACGTCCCCGCCCGCGTATACTATTGCCTCTTCAACAACCGGGCGCATCGTCGTCGCCGAACGCCGTACTACGAAACAGTACGAAGAAAAAACACCTTGAAAATACTTTGTCGCAAGATATAATCACTTAATGATTTTCGTATACGAGAGGAGACGCAGGGCAAACGAGGTACTCGATTCTATCGATAAAAACGATCTTTTCGTATCGAGATAGCTAGATTAAAAATAGCAATATCGGAGACACGAAAAGTGAATAGTCGTTCGGTTATTCTTTTTTTTTTTTTTTTTTCTTTTTTCAACGAATTTCTTTTGAGATGAAATAATTTTAAAGGATCGAACGATTGAAAGATGTAGAAATAATTTATTAAAGTTACATATACTTATCGCGTAGTAATTTTTCGGGGACGAATAATCGATCGTTTCTTTTTTTTCTTCCAAAAGTTACACATATCTATAAACCGAACCGAACGACTATGTCAATGGATGAAGAAAACTCTCCTATGTGCTTCGATATGTATCATTCCTTAACTTATTCGATCATCATAATGATCATCATAATGATGATACGTTATCGATCTTTTTTTTTTTTATCATTACTTTTTTCTTTTTTTTTTTTTTGCACTGTACTCTCGCAAACTGAAGCGATCGGTCGAAACTCCGACGAAAATTATTCCGCGGACGGTTTCTCCGCGGCCGTTTCTTCTTCGGTTACGCGGGAACCGGGAGGGGGAGGGGAAAAAGGAAAAGGAACGAATCGAGAGGACCGGTTTCGATTCAAGAAAGCGATTGTCAATCGCGAATACGATGATTATCGGAATATTAGAATTCGACGAAAGCCTCCGCGTCGATGGATTTCGCTTCCGTGAACACGTAACCCCTCGATATTTTCGCCGGAGCTTACATCTCGTAACACTATTTCCCATTCGACGAGAGCAACGGACTGGCGGCGTTTGAATATCCTTGGCTGCAGGTCGGCAACATAAATGGATTCACGTTGAACGGTGAACCGACCACCTCTCCTAGTCCTGCAACATACCAACTGTCGGTTATACGTTAGTGTCATTCGCTACAGCTTACAAATTACGAATATAAATATATAATATAATGCGAATATGTATATAGAAAATTCGTTTCATGCTCATGTACGTATAGAAGGAACTTTAACGAACGGGATAAATTTTGGTTAGAAGACTGATACACAAGATGAAGAGGATCGTATTCGAAATTCGTGATTAGGGCACGTGGCAACAAAAGGGCTTCAACGATCGATCTTATTCGCTAAGTGGATCTCGGTAACGATCGGCGTTGCAAGGCGGGGGGGGGGGGGGGGGGTTTAATCGAGAAGCGATATCGAATTAACGAAACGAAGGAGGGAGAGGGATTTATCAACGATTGATAAATGAACGTGTGCGTACATACATCCTCGAATCTCTCTCGTCTCTCGTGCATGTTTCTCATAATTCTTTAATCGTAGTGCATAGGGTGGTTGTGGTGGTGATGATGGTGGTTGTGATGGTGGACGGTTAGCGGTTACTGGGCGGCTGTGGCGAGGTGGTGCTGTGTGGACCAGTGCGGTGGGACTGAGGTGGTCGGTGGTCGTACTACGGGAGCGAACGCACTCCCGTCCCCGGACGTATAGAAAATGCCATACTGTTCGTGCGCTAAAACGAAAATTTCACATAAGGGAAAATCATAAATACATGCATAAACGATTAACTGTACCATTAAACTGTAACAAGCTGATGTGTCCTCTGCGATTTCGCGCAACATGCATTTCGCTATAAATATAAAGCCGACAAATGTCTACGTTCTCGTCTCGTTTCTTTCGAGAAAAAAAAAAAAAAAAAAGAAAATAGAAGCGTTAAAAGTAAACGATGATTTTTTTATATAATAAAATTTGACAATGGACTTTTCGAAGCGAAGAAGAAGAATAATCGATAGGATCGATAGGAAGATAAAATTGGAAAATGCAGAGACAAGATTTGGAGATTCCTGTAGGAAAGAAAGAAAGAAAGAAAGAATGGTATACTTACGCGATGTGTAAAGGGTTGGACTACCGGTGTACGGATTGGCTACCGAGTAACTTCCGTTTGTGCTGTGACTGTGAGGCGTGCTGGCCGAACTTCCGCAATAACCACCGCCGGTCACAACCCCGCGTGGACTCGCGCTGCTGCTTTGCCTGTAGGCATCGGCGCTACCACCGACGCTCCCTCCGACGCTACCACCACCGCCGCCTCCGCCTCCACCACCGGCTCCTGTCGTCACGGAACTACCGTCTAGAAATAGAAACCTGCCCGTCAGACGAACTCGTCAGTATTTCATCATTCTGTTCATTGCGTTTTGCCTACTGCACCGGAACGAGGAGAAGATCGACTTAACGTTGGATCAATCGTGTTCATGAATTTCAGATTCGTTTCCGCGAATTTTAAATTTTAAAATCAATATTAAATTGGTATTATTTTATGTAAATATATCTTATATATTTTTTGCGGCAATGCGTACGTAATAGTATAAAGGCACGTTTGAATCGTACGTTTATTGAAAAAGTTTTATCGTTTTATACAGATATCTACAGGATATGTCGATCGATCAATTGCAATAAATGATATTTAGCGTAGTGATCGTTTCGCGTTTCTAATTGTAACAACGACCGTGTTATCGTGTCAGTCTATACTAAATATCGTTTGGATACTTGCCGTCTGTCCATTTCGCCGCGCTACCGTTTTCCTGTACCGTCACCGCGAGCTGTCCTGTATACGAGTTGAACGCTGTTGCCGAACTGGAGGTTGGAGGTGCAGGTGGATGACCCGATCCCGGACTTCTCGGTGCTCCCGTAATTCCGGCGTTTCCGCTTCTGGGCATACTGTACAAAGCTTCCGCGAGATCGGCCGCCCTTTTCAATATGATCTCTTTTGGTAGTTTTTCAGGATCTCCAGGATGCCGGGGAATAAGCTTCTGTAACCTTTGGAAGCCGTAATCGATCGTGGGTTCGTTCAATGCTGAAAAATTTTGCGAATGTCATCGTTTTTCTTTTTTTCTTTTTTTTTTTTTTTTTTTAATACGTCATAGAATGGAAAGAATGGAAAGAATGGTTGTAACTTTCCGTTATACTTACAAACGTAGACGAATCTACCAGGTGCGCCTTTACAGAATTGTTTAGTTTTATAGGATAACGTGACTTCAACGACGCCTGGTATCTGTCGAGGAGGAGTTTGTACTCTGATCGCATTTGGTGTAATTAGCTAAAAGAAAAAGGAAAAAAGAAGAAGCGAATTAAATCATAGCTTCGAAATTTGTTAAATTTCGATTTTTAAAAAATTACATACCTCGCTCCAAACCAACATCGATCCAAAAACAACTTGAAGCCCATCGAAGAAATTCTCCCCGATGATTATCACCGTCGATCCGCCGGATGTCCACCCTTCGTTCGGCGATATCGCTTTTATACACGGCGTTTGAAGAGGTACTGGCGTATAAAGACCTAATTGTGCAAATACGAAATATTATTGCGTTATTTTATCGATACTTCGATACAAATAGCATTGTTAATGTACTGCAAGATTTCAAGTTATTCCGGTGAAATGGTGGTTTGAATTAAACCTACCAGAGACATAAATTAAAATTGCACACAATGTTAATATCTTAACATTATAGTATGATTAACCATTTACATTTGCATGTCTGTGCTGTTGCGTTATAAAATTATTTTAAGCTACGTTAACATTCATAATTATGCATGACCTAATTTGCGTTAAAACAAATTTTACGAAATGTACGACGTGTTACGTACATACAATTTCTTAATTACGATCGTTAAAAACACATAGTAAAAAGAGGCCCTCGATGGATGCGTACGATCCCTGTCACGCGTCAGTTTTACACGCGAAATCACGAAAACAATAATTCGAGTAACAACTCGAGAGAGGGGTTTGAAAAATTACGCGAATAATCCTTCGATCGCGCGAAGCAAATGGATACAGTTGGTTAGGAGGTGGGATACGGAAAATTATCCGAATATTCTGTTTATTCGGTGGAGGCCGTTTGATAGATATATTTCTAGTGGGAAGAGAGGGAGTGAGAGAGAGAAAGAGTAAAGGAAAGAGATGGAGAAAGAGAAAGGAGGAGGAGGAGGAGGAGGAGGAGGCTGAGAGTGGGCAGAGAAGGGTTGTAACAAGAAGGAAGGGAGGCGATCGGGCCGCCGGTGTCTCTGCTTGGAATTTATAACCCAATGATATCATTTTGTACCCTGGCGAAGCCAAGCCACCCCCGGTACCAACCCTGGCAGAGCGGAGCCACGGCAGAGTGGCTGACATCATGGTATATTGCCCCCAGTGATGCTCAAACAGTTTCCACCTCGGGTGCTTACGCTACTAAATCTTAAAAGGTTTAAGAGATTCCAACTTGGCGTACGATTTTGAAATATCGCGTTTCGAAATTTAACGACTACTTAAATCTGTTCCGTTGACATCGTTACACGTTGTAAAACGTTGTTGGGAATTTATATGGTATTCTACTTTGCGCTACGTACAAGTAAGACTCGAGTATTGGAAGGAGGGGGGAAAGGACATAGCGTTAAAGAACAGCGGTATCCGTGTAAATAGAGATTCTTGAATGGGACATGGGTATTTATTGCGTTCAATGTAGAAGAAAGTCGTTAAACAGAGTCGGCCACGTTGGCAACCACCCTGCTGGAGAATTGTCGGGTAAAGTGGTATGAGGCGGAAAAGTAGGAAGAGGAGGAGGAGGAGGAGGAGGAGGAGGAGGGTTGAAAAGAGGGATTCAGTGGAGGAGGCCGGAACAAGCGTACCAACCCGGAATAAATAAAATCCCCCGTGCCACTGGCAAAGTGGTAAGGGGTGCTACTCTCCTTCTACTCTTTCGAGCTTCTCTCTTACCACGAAACCGTGGCCAAAGAGTCGTACTCCAACACGTTCGGCCCGATTCTCTCTGATCACTGTGAGATCGCGCGATAACTTCGTTTACCCCCGATATAAAGATCCGAGAACTTTTCCGAGAAAAAAAGAAATTCCTTTCGCTTTCATCATTTTACGATAATATTGCGTTCCATTCTTCACAATTTGTATTTTTTTTTTTTTTCATCGCGACACGTATCGCGTATGGAGAATCTTTCCACGAAAACAATCTATCCGATGAATTATGAACGAACTATCCTGTTACGACAAAACCTGGTAGAAGAAGAAGAAGAAGAAGAAGAAGAAGAATTTGTTTCGATCGATCTGAAACTTTGATTTCTGGAACGGATGGAAAGATCCATCCGTTCGTAACTACGCAAGATGTTCTCTTTAGTCGTCCTCTCTTTCGACGTTCCCCTCTCTCCTTTGTCTCATTGGTATGCCTGTTTCAGCGTTTTGGGAGTTGCTCGCCAGGGAATTTGGAAAGAGTGTTAGCGGTATGGCGTCACAGTAGTTGCGAAAACCGAGAGGATGGCTCGAGATAGCGTAAACTTAGCATTCACAAACCGACATCTCGGAGCAACCAGCGTTAAGACGAAGCGAGATCGGCGGTAGAGAGAGAGAAAAGGAGGAAAGAAAGGTCCAATTTCGACTCTCCTCCCTTCTCTTTCTTCTTCTCCTTTCATTCTTTCTATCTATCCGTATCTCTCTTCCCTCGATAGCAGCCACTTGGCAAAAAAAAAAAAAAAAGAAAAAAGAAAGAAAAAAGAGAAGAGCGAAAAGATACGATAGGATGAAAAAGAAGCTGCGAAGAGGGAAGAAGCGAGAAGAAGAGGAATGGAGGAAATAAGAGCAAGGAAAGAGGGGGCGGAGAGAAGCGTGGTAGATCCCTCGTTTTCCCGCATCCCATTGATTTACATCTTGTCTTGGCGCAGCGAGGAAGAAGAAAGAGTGGAAGAAGAAAGGCGGGAGAAGAGAAGCCGCGCGTAGTCGAGAGGGTGGCCGCATGATATCAGCCGTTTGTATGCGCGACCGACGCCAAACTTTGCTGAATTGCCCTATGACTCCTTATATCCTATTCTCCGAGCACGCCCCCTCCCTCTCCTTTTACGATTCCCCCCTCTCTACTCTCTCTCTCTCTCTCGAGTCGTTATACCGATCTCGAAGAAAACCGACTCGCTCCCTTCCCTTTCGTTCGAGAATTCCGTAAGGGTGGTGCTAGGATTCTCCAATTGTAAATGACGACTATAAATCGGTCGGGGAACTATCGCGAGATTACGTGTGCGCGATTAATTGCGCGTTTCGCCTGCAATTTAATTCCGTATCTTTTCTATTCGAAGAAAGGAAAATTCATCCATAAAATGCTTTCATCGATTTTACCGATATTTTTGATCGATTGTATCATTTGTACTGCTAAGCTTTTTAAATATTCACCGTTACGTTACATTAATTTTAGAAAGGGGAGGTTAAATATTCGAGCAATGATCGAAAGTATTTAAGAGGATATCACGACACGCCATTTATGATTCGACAGTTGAATTAGAGAGTCGGTGCTACTTACTGTTGTATTCTCCAGGATCACTGGGATCCAATCGTTTCGTTCTACGTCCGTGTTTGCTGTTGTTGTGAACGAACATGTTGTCCGAGACGGCCAGTAGCGGTCCCTCTACTCCTACTTGCGTGGAAATGACCACCTGTTACGGAACGTTGAAATTCGTCGACGTAAGATTTCGGTTATTAAAATTTAGGAAAATTTAGGAAAATTTAGGAAAATTTAATCGCATAAAATAAATTGCATAGAAATAGTACCGCTTTTGAAGTTTGTTGCAATAAATAAATAAGAGTATCGCGTAAGGAATTATTTTATGTCACTTTTACAATTTTTTGACGTATCGTAAAATCGAAACTATGTCATGGAACGTGTTGCGTAATTTTATTTACGCGTTATGTAAGTACATATGTTAATCATATATCTCTTGCGAACAAGCAATGTTGCCTGATTTGCTGCATCGCATTATATGTATTTCGCCATGCATTCCGTGACTCTCGTGACCCCCTATTTGCACGTATGATAGATACTATCGTACAAATGTATGAATACAATCTCATTAAAGCTGATCCTTGGAATATCTCGTAGTAACTAATTTTGGGACATTATGGTATTAAATAATTTATCATTATTTTTAAATATTGTACGATATATATTAAAGATGCATACTTCGATATAAAGTACAATATTACTTTCATTTAAATTAATTACATTATCCTTCATCAAATAAATTACTAGAAATGCTATTAGGAAATAATTGAATTTGGCTTCGGTGGTAAAGTAATCTGTTTTTACGATATAAGCAATGCATTTTCACGAATAAAAGTTTGGGCAAATTGAAACAAGCCACGCGGTTAACCACGAGTTTGTCGGATGCAAACAAGAGGACGATGATTTTCGGGAGAAAGTAGAAAGAACGTTTATAAAATCGACTGGGCGGTTGGTAAATGCCCAAAGTTTTGTCCTTTCGCAACTTCACAACTTTCTTGGCTAGTTGGCCGTACTACGTAGCACGTAACGTCGTGGAAACTTACGCCGGCACCAAGGGTGAGGACTGGCCTTCGCGAGGCAAATTTTCGAGGAACCGGTAAAATTTTAATTCGCAACGTCGAGTAATAAGCGATTCCTAGACAAATTCGATGAAGGGATAAGCGTTTCAACTTTGAGTTTATATTTAACTGGTTGAATGCAAATGTGAAATCCACGAGAGGTGGACGTGACAAATTTTGAAACGATTGAAACAAACTTTTGTCGTAACTTTTGTTTAAAAAAGAAAAAGGGAGAAAAGAATTAGGGAACAATTGGAGGAACAGCCTCGAATCTGTTCCTCTATTCGATTACAAAGTGAGTAAAGGAGAAAGGGAAACGTAAGAAATGGCGCGATAAGGCGGACGGAAGCAATGGAAGAAGGCGAAAAGGCAGAGCGCAAAGTTTTTGGTAATTTATTTTTTAATTCTACCTTTTGTCCGTGGAAATGGATACGGACGGGGTGGCGAGATACGGCTGTCGGTGAGTAGGAGAGACCGTTATACGGGGGTAGGGGTGAACGGATACGGGGCTGGGTCGGTTGATGCCGCGCTGAGCTAATTGCCAACCCCTTGGATTACGTCTCTTGGATGGGGATCTCAACTTGCGACGATGGCCGACCATCGGGAAATTGCTGTCTCCTCGACCAACTTTTTCTTCTCTTTTTAGAAATTAAAAAAGAAGCCAAGAACCGAGAGGCACGCACAATGGTACGCCTTTCTACTTTGCCCTTATACATAATTTCGCGAGTCGTGATTCGAACTTGATGACCGACTTTTTTCCACGCCACTCACTCTCCCTTTCCCTTCGAATAATCGAGTGATCGAATTTTTAAAGCGAATCATCCGATTTGCCGAAGTTTTAACATCCCGATAAATAAATGATCGACGCGTTGAAACTTACCTGGAAACGTCTCATGTCACGTGGATTGCCCGCATTCTTAAGGCAGTTCTGGTTGCACTTTAGGAAGAATTTGAGGAAGAATCTGAAAGCAGAGGGGAGCGGAGTTAAACGGTTGACAAGGTGCTTAACGCTCTTCAACGCCGAGAACTTAATTAGAACGCGAACTTGGCTGGAAAGTAAGCCTGAATATTGCATAAGCCAATCGTAAGCCCTGTTCTACTCGCCTATATTATTCAGTATTTCTCTAGATTAAACCTCGAACCACGCGTTCTTCGACCTTTAAGGCTGTATTGTATACCGTGCTAACGTTCATGGTTACCAGTCTACTAAAATGTCGAAAGGTGGCCATCTTTAAAAATATATTCGATTCCCATAAATCAGCGTCAGAGCTTTCCACACGTTACATTCTATACATATACATATACGTTTCAAGATTGTCTTACAACTCGTTTGTCCAAGCATTCTTACATATCGTATCGTGATATCCAAGATAATAAATTATTCATAGCATTTTATTAATAGAATCTTACTTGTTTAAACGCTTTACTTGTTTAGAAAATTTAAAAACATTTTATAGAATATATTTCAAAAAGAATCGTGACGAAATATGAATGATACGCCTTTACGAATGGGAATAGTAACGATACGAGCGATAGAAGAAAAATTCCAAAAAAAAATAAAAGAAAGGAAAGATAGGTTTTAGGTAAAAAGTCGACAGCTCAATTTTCATGAATTATGTATAATGTAGGGAGGATATTGAATTTGAGAAAATTTTAGTGGATGCGGGATATTCGCGTTCGCAGTGACGGAAGAGAAAGGAGAAGAAAGAATTGGACGAAGAGAGCGAAATAGGAATATATCTCTGTTGAGGAGAGAATGAGCGAGAGAGAAAAAAAAAGAGAGAGAGAGAGAGAAAAGTGGAGAAAACTCGTAGGAAACAATCAGGAGGACCGAGACGATGAAGAGTTGGACGGATGAAGGGGGGTAGTTTTCTGGGTGGCTGGTAGGCTTGTCCTCCCGTGGGACACCATTGTTATCCCCCTACGGACTGCGTCTATACGATCCCGGGACTCGATCGAAAAATCAAACGCGTACCTCCTACTAGCGACGCTTCCTTTTTTTTTTCTTTCTTTCTTTCTCGTTTGCGCGAACCGTCCGAGCGAAACTCGTAGAAGAAACTCGTCTGATTTCACTTCGTCGCCTCGTCTCCCCTCCGCTCCTATCGATATCGCGTCCTTCTCGCGTTCCTTTGCCATCCCTATTTTCGCGTTAAAGGGATAAATAGAGTGATGCACTGCAGTGAACGCCGATTCCTTTAATTTTACGAACGCTCGAGAAGAAATAAAATCGTTAAGGTAAACGTAAACGGACCCATCGTTTTCTTATCCTTGATTTATCTCTTACTCAGTTTCATCGTTTTATCGCCCTTCTTTTTTTTATTATTCTCATAAAATTTCAGGAAGCAGAGCAGAGTAATGGTACAAATAATGGGTAGCGTCGAAGCTAATAAAGTCATTAAATCGAGACAAGCGTCATCTTAGGTAATCGTAATCGTGTAATTCATCTTATCCTTCGTTGAATCAAATTTGATATTATTTTATATTATACCTTGTAATTGCAACGAAACGGTATAATTTTTTAACCTTTTATTTCTTTTTAATGTAAAATAGTTGCACTCATCCTAGTTGAAATTAGCGAATCGAGGAGAAATGTTGGATACCTTGGATGTGTAATGATACAATGGAAGCGTCAATTCGTTCCTTTTTTTGCGATATCACACGCACGCACATAACGACACGGAGCGCGCGTATTATCGCGCATTACACACGGTCGGATTATCTAAACGACACTTTTATCGTCGGCTCGTACGATCCGGCGCAAGTTGTCAACCGAGTCGAACGTTTGGCACGAAATCCATATAGCGGTTGGAAAAGTGAAAAATAAAAACGAGAAGCCGATCGGAGTGGCCCTTGTTCGCGTACGGGAAGGGTAGGGTGGCGGGACGTAAAGAGAAAAGGCCGAGGAAGAAGGGAAAGGGAGGGATACACGCAGAAAGAGAAAGGGAAAGAAACGTATCGATCTCCTGCTTCTACGTATCTATCTATCCGTATTCATGGTGTACACGTTCCAGCTTCTCGCGTTAACGGCTACACTCGGCCGCTCCAAGAGAGCCGAGCGAATTTAATTTCGTTTACTCTTAGAGGACGTTAAGATCTTATCGAGATGCTGGATGGGTATTCAAAGCATTGTACTTTCCCTTATCGACCTTGTGAATCTTGCTCTAAACACGATGTCTCTGCCGTGCCTGAGGCGTGGAGAACGACGCCGATGCCTTCTAGTCTTTTCCAGATACGAATCCTATCGACCATGCCTGTGTACATACCTCTCTCTCTCTCTCGTTACACGGGAAACGGAAATGTTTCTCAACGTCGAAGGATTCGTCGAAGGATCGAAGATCGTTGCTTTTGAACGATCAAATTTACGCGACTATCAACTTCGAAAGCAATCGAACAAAAAAGATTTGAGAATAAATATAGAAATATTGGAGAGGACGAATTCGTAAGCGACGCTAATCATCGGCGACAACGCCGATTCGACATCGTTGTATCGATGTCTATTCATCCCTCCGTTCTTTTTTCCTCTCTCGACTCGTTTCCTTCCACGCTATCCTCCGAGTATTGGCTGTTAGGAGCTAATGGATTGCGTTACCGACTGATTCAAATGCGAACTGGATTTCATTCTAAGCTCGATGGGGCGACAGTATCGGCGATGTTGTAACGGGAACACGAGCAAGAAGGGTGGAAAGGCCAGTTTCTTACAGGGGCTCAAACTCGATTTCGATCATCTATTAGATTTTTCTCCTTCAGCCGATGCTTTCCGCGAGCTTGCGCCACTTTTCACGATAAAATCTATTCTGGATCGTCGCTTAACACAACCGGCAAGTGTATTTCGCGTCGTTGAAACGTTCGATCGTGTTGAAGATCGTTTGTTCCAACAGGTCCAAGATTGATACGTTTCCCGATAAATATCTGCGTGTTTTCGATTCAAATATTTTTGAAATATTCAACGGAGTTGCAATTTACGAATAACAAATAAATATTCCAGAGCTGTTAAAAGAAATTTTGAAAAAGAAGATTCTAATGTTAATAATCAACATTTCGAACGAATGATAATAGAATTTCGGTCTCCGTGAAATTAAAGCGGTTTATCGGTGGATAGAAATCAGTAGTATTTCTTGCCGTATCGGTGATTGTTCGGTTGCTAACGAATTGACACGGAATAAAATATACAGGAGTCGACCGATTGAGAAATCATTTCCAACCTACCTTCCGATCGTAGCATACCTTTCTCCGTTGCCTCTGTTAAAATGAAAATAAAACGCAGCAACGCGCAGCGGAAAGTGGAGGGTTGTATGCGATGGGAGAAGGGGAGACAGAATGGCAACGGCGTGTAGCGGGAAACGTGCACCGTTCGCTGTTTCCAGTTTTACAGTATACAACTTCGCAACGTTGGGATGGATGAACGAACGAGCCAGAAAAAATAAACGACGTCAATGAAAAAAAAAAAAAAAAAAAAAAAAAAAAAA